AATATTATTATGATTCTAAATATATTAAATACATTAGATACATTAAATATATTAAATATATCAAATATATCAAGCATATCAAGTATATCAAGTATATCAAGTATATCAAGTATATCAAGTATATCAAATATATCAAGTATATCAAGTATATCAAATATATCAAATATATCAAGTATATCAAGTATACCAAGTATATCAAGTATATCAAATATATCAAGTATATCAACTATATCAATTATATCAAATATATTAAGTATATCAAGTATATCCAAATATATCCAAATATATCAAGTATATCAAGTATATCAAATATATCAAATATATCAAGTATATCAAGTATACCAAGTATATCAAGTATATCAAATATATCAAGTATATCAACTATATCAATTATATCAAATATATTAAGTATATCAAGTATATCCAAATATATCCAAATATATCAAGTATATCAAGTATATCAAATATATCAAATATATCAAGTATATCAAATATATTAAATATATTAAGTATATCCAAATATATCAAGTATATCAAGTATATCCAAATATATTAAGTGTATCAAGTATATCTAAATATATCAAGTATATCAAGTATATCCAAATATATCAAGTATATCAAGTATATTAAATATATCAAGTATATCAAGTATATCCAAATATATCAAATATAAAATATATTTGAAAATATAAATGTAATTGAATATAAAAATATATATAGATATATATCAAATATAAATAATATATCAAATACATCAAATATATCAAATATACTGTCGTAATTCAAAATAAATTACAGCTAGAACTTGTTACCTAAAATCCACGCTCAAGCATGGTTCCAATGCGTCAACAAAATATTTTCAAGTCAACCCTCTATCCGTTCAACGAAATTTAAAAATTGCTTCGAACACCGACACAATTCTCGAAGCCTAAATTATGAATCCATACCGAGCATCAATTCGCAATAGTAAACAATTCTCATTTCCGTTCGAAGAGTCCCGCTGTTCCGCATCAACGATCCGATCGTATTGCACCGAATCGTTCGCGTACAGAGTTCGATCACAGAATTTCGCGACTGAAAAGAGGAAGGCGTCGTCGATTCGCCGTCGAGCAGCGACGAGCCTCGCTTTTTTTATCGACACGTTCGAACGGTACCTCCGAGGTCTTTAAACCGCGTGAGGCGCGCAGGGTCTTGCTCGCGCGAGCACGCGAGAATTCCCATGGGCCATCTTGCATGCAAATGCGCCGCCCGTGTTTCTCGTATAATTTTTCTCTCCTTTTTCTTTTTTGTTTACACTTATCTCACGTACAGAATATTTTTACCGCCCGCGGCTGCTTGCACGGCGCGCCTATATAAAGAAGACGCGGCCGACGGATTCGCGTTAAACGCGCGTACACGGCGGCCGTGTCGCGAGGAAACCAGACAAATTAAAACCGGTGCCGTTGGTTTCTGGCTCTCGATTTCTTTCACTCGGAATCCGGCCGAGATATCGCCGTTAGAAAATCGCTCGGCGATCGTCCGCTTGTTCCGCGAAAGAAAACGTCGTCGACGGGCGGTGAACGAAAGCGGAAGAAAAGCGCGTTCGAGCCGAAAACGCGTAAAGTTCGCGACGCTATAGAGCAACGATGCGATTTGTCGGATAAAACCGGCGGAGAATTTTTGTGCAATTTAACCACGAGTTTGTAAATTAAATCCGTGGATTTAGAAGTCGACGCGAAAAGTCCGACGTTATGAAAGCGACAGCGTTGCAACTGTTTCTCGTTCTCGGAGCGGCTCGCGCCGACGAGGTGGTGCGATACGACGGCTTCAGATTGTACAAGATCTTTGTTCCGGGCAGCGAGGGCCTCGCGGTACTCAAGAAAATGCAGGACGACGACGGCTACACTTTCTGGGGGCAGCCGCGGGTCAACGACACCACCGACGTTATGATGTCGCCGAGGAAGATCGAGGAGTTCATGAGCATCATGAACGCCACACAATTAGACCCGGAATTGATGATGGACAACGTGCAACGGTACATCGACGACGAGAATCCACGACGGAATACGAGGGGAGCGTTCGATTGGTTTGGTTACCATCGGCTGGACACGGTGAGATGAACATGTTTAAACAGAGTTTGCTGTGCTCGACGAGTATACTCGTCGCGGCGGTATTTTGGGGCACGACGAGTATACTCGTCTTGGAGTAGTGGCGGTATTTTGGGGCGTGACGAGTATAGTCGTCATTGAAACGAGGTGGTATTTTGGGACGTGACGAGTATAGTCGTCATAGAGAAGGGGCAGACGAGTATACTCGTCACGGAGAAATTACAGTATTTTGGGACATGACGAGTATATTCGTTTTAGAGAAGGGGCTGTAATCTTGGGGCGCGACGAGTATACTCGTTGTGGAAAGGTAGTATTTTGTGTCACGAGTATCTTCGTCACGGAGAAATTACAGTATTTTGGGGCGCGACGAATATACTCGTCTGTTATAATTGTTGTATTTATTATATTATCATATTTGTTATATAACTGTTATGATTGTTATACTTATTATATTATATCTATTATATAACTGTCATAATTGTTATATATATTATATTATTATATCTATTATATAATTGTTATAATTTTTATATTAATTATATTATTACATCTATTATATAACTGTTATAATTATTGCATTTATTATATTATTATATTTATTATGTGACTGTTATAATTATTGTATTTATGATATTATTATATTTATTATGTAACTGTTATAATTGTTATATTTATACTAATAGCATGTTCGGTGTTAATTCGAATGTTTTCTATCGTACTATTGTTCTATTATTTCGAAATATGGAATGGAACTGCTTATATAGAACTTATCAAAAAAGAAAAAATGGGAATCAAGTTGTTATATTTATTATATTATTACATTTAGTGTATAATTGTTATAATTGTTTTATTTATTATATGTATTATATTATAATTTTTTATATGTATGATCCATATATATGTATATCGATAAGTCGACAGCATAACTTTTTAACAAATGAATCCAAGACTTATTTCAACGACATTCCTAAATTCGGGACTTCGATTTCTGGACATTTCACGACAAGATCCAACGAAATGTTCACTGGAAAAAGTCAACGAAATATACCCCCCCCCCCCCCGGAGAAGTTTAATCCCGGTGCCTCTAATTGTATCGATTCGTTTCAGATTTATCGTTGGCTCGACTCGCTGGTCGCGCAGCATCCAGAAATCGTGCAACCCTTGACCGGCGGCCGCAGCTACGAAGGGAGAAGCATCAGAGGCGTGAAAGTTTCGTTCAAGGAAGGGAATCCGGGCGTGTTCATCGAAGGTGGAATTCACGCCAGAGAATGGATATCGCCGGCCGTTGTAACGTACATCCTGAATGAATTAATACTGAGCGAGGATCCCCGTGTCCGATACATGGCTGAGTCTTACGACTGGTACATCTTCCCGGTATTCAACCCGGATGGTTACGAGTACACGCATACCAGGGTAAAAATAAACGTTTTGCAAACTGTTCGGTGACACCGTTACCGAAGTTTGAATAATTCTAACTTTGTTAAGAAATTTAGTCGATTTAGTGAATTTAACGAATTTAACGAATTTAATGAATTCAAAGAATTTAAGGAACTTCATAAATTTATACAATTTTATACAATTTATACAATTTATACACTTTATACAATTTATACAATTTATACACTTTATACAATTTATACAATTTATACAAATTAATCAATTTAATCAATTGATCAATTTAATTTAATGTATTTAACGAATTTAATAAATTTAACAAATTGGATGAATCTAATTAATTTAATCAATTTAATAAATATAATGTATTTAACGAATTTGATCAATTTAACAAATATAATGAATCTAATAAATTTAATAAATTTAATAAATTCAATAAAAATTGAATTGAATTTGATCGCGTTTGGAGCTCGTTATTAGTGTTAATAGTACAAGAACAACTATCGATGGAACAATTCGTTTTTTATCTATGTATATTATTTTACAATTATCAAAACTACGAAGATCCGTTGATCACATTCGAACAGGCAAACTAAAAAAAATCATAATACTAAATTAAACATCAAATTCCAAATTCTAGAATACTTTTGTGATAACAGCTCGTTATCTTTTCTCTGATCGAATGCTTTCGTCGCTCATTCAAAGTTAATTAAAGATCAGTGTCGAGCGATTTCTATGATCTCGATATTTGGCACTCGAATAAGTCGATTCAATCATCTATCTTAATCGTTAATTAGATCTTACAATTAGTGAGACCGTTTCTCGGGCGATTAAACGATATATTATTATATAGAATAATTAATTGATAATTAATCATTAAATTAAATGATATATATTATTATAAATAACATATATTATATCATATATTATATTTAATATTTAATAGTAATTCTATATAATTATATATTATATATTGAATATTATATTTAATATAAATTATATGTAATTATATATTATATATATTTTATACTATTATAATTTCCTTCAAAAAAGCAGTTTCAATTATCGTTCACACGACGCATAAATAACTGCTTCTGCGAATGCAAACAAACGCATAGACGATCGTCGTTCTGCAGAATCATTCGGACGATGTTCCCGCGCATCGAGCACCGATAAAATCTGGGTTTCTCCTTGGTGTTTTATCAGCAATCAATCGTTATCTATAATTAGCCGAGAGTTTCAATCAATTGCAATTGTTTTCAACCGACCGCGTACATACCGATCTCATGCTCAATCGACAGATACCAATACAATGCGCGATAATCCTGCGGCGAACTGCTAATTAAATGATGCTTCGCAGCGCAAAGAACAACTTTTCTGTGTGCACAGAATCGACTATGGCGGAAGACTAGGCAGCCAAGCAGAGGGGGATGCTATGGCGCCGATCCGAACAGAAATTGGAACTTCCATTGGGCAGGTTCGTAATCGAATACGAACCATAACGATCGCATTTTACTCGCTGATATGCTCGTGTTTCGTTCATTGTTTACCCTTTCGTTAAAACTTCCAGTTCTGAAACCCGCGATCGCGCCGCGATGGGGGCGACTTTTGACACGTTCCCGAGATCATTTCAAGTAAATTTTTCCTTAGCGAAAATGCAATCCGTGACTTTGTTTACGAGTTATTATTGAAATTTGAAAGGGATCAATCTGTGACATCGTGCGAGGTTGACAGGATTTGAAAGGAGAAGTTCGGATGGATTTTAAAATATGTTCCGGAAGAGTTATTTCTATGAAATTTAGCTTAAGTGATAGCTGAAAGTGTCTACTTTAATACAGGGTAAATCAGTTTGCAACAGAATAACGAGATCGTTTTGAGAAATTAAAATGAACCTATCTCTGACATCATGGAGTTTACAAGATTTGAAAGAAGAAGTTCGGATAGATTTAAAAATACGTTCTCGTGGGGCTATTTCTATGCGACACTTAGCTTAAACGAAAGCGGGAGGTGTCTACTTTAAGACAAACTAAACTAAACTACAATAGATCGACAAGATCATTTTGAGAAATTAAAAGAAGTCGATTTCTGACATCACGAGGTTGATAAGATTTGAAAGGAGAAGTTCAGATGGATTCTAAAATACGTTTCAGTAGAGTTATTTTCATTTAACTTAGCTCAAATTAAAGCTGAAAGTGTCTACTTTAAGATAGGTTAGATCAGATTGCAATAGAATGACGAGATCATTTAGAGAAATTAAAAGGAGTCGATTTTTGACGGTATGGGGTTTAGAATATTAAGAAGGAGAAGTTTGAATGGATTTTAAAAAATTCGTTTCTGTAGCTTAAATTAAAGCCGAAAGTATCTACTTTAAGACATAGTAAACTAAATTACAATAGAATGACGAGATCAATTAGAGAAATTAAAAGGAGTTGATTTCTGACATCACGGGGTTAACGAGATTTGAAAAGACAATTTCAGATGGATTTTAAAATACGTTCCCGTGGAGCTATTTTTATGCAACATAGCTTAAATTAAAGTCGAAAGTATCTACTTTAAGACATAGTAAATTAAATCACAATAGTTTGATGAGATCATTTTGAGAAATTAAAAGGAGTCGATTTCTGACATCACGGGGTTGACGAGATTTGAAGAGACAATTTCAGATGAATTTTAAAATACGTTCCCATCGAGCTAATTTCATGCAACTCAGCTCAAATTAAAGCCGAAAGTGTCCATTTTAATACAGGATAGATTAGGTCGCGAACCGATCGTCAATCTCTTGGTTAATTAATATTCAATCGTCGATACTGCAGAGGGTGGCACCAGTTCGAATCCGTGCAGCGAGATCTACCACGGCAGCAAGCCGTTCTCCGAAACGGAGACGAGGACCATGTCGGAGTACATCGACAGCATTCAGGAGAAGCTGTTCTCGTACATAGCGTTTCACAGTTACAGCCAGCTGTTGCTCATCCCTTACGGGCACACGAGAAAAAGGGTCGAGAACTACGCGGATCTGTATCAAATCGGGAACGCCTCCGTGAACGCCCTGTCGAAGCGATATGGGACCAGATACAAAGTCGGGAACATCGTCGACGTAATATGTAAGTATAATTGATTGATTCTCGATAGATCGGAGTATGTAGACGGAGGACAGGGTCAGTAGCGTCGGAAGGTCTACGCTCGTTATTCGGCCCCACGTGCGCCGGCGAGATTGCAGCGTCGATTATCTATTACATTATACATATGTATATCGGTCCGTATGTTTACACCGGTGGAATCTTAATGGGGAACCGTCGAAGACGTTTCCTTGGAGCGTGGAATTTGTTAAGACGACGAACGCAATCTCAAGATCACCCGTTGAGTCGCTGAATATTTTCATNGATTATAAATATATATATATATATATATATATATATATATATATATATATATATAAAATTTATATATAAAATCAAGGTTAATTGC